CCCAGCCTGAGAGATGGAATACAGGGCCAATCTTTGGGAGGGAAAAACACAAGCCACTCGGTCTTGTCGGGATTGAGTGTAATGAAACATCTGCAAGAAAACAGCCAAGCTAAGAGAGCACCAAGGACCTACATCATCATCATCATCTCCTCCTCCTCCTCTTTGCCCCTCGCTCTACATACCTCATTCCTTTCTAGCACTGATGATGTTACCTAGCTGGGTAATGAAATGTCTGCAAGAAAACAGCCAAGCTCAGAGAGCACCCAGGATTCCACAGATCTCTTTAAAGACAAATACTCGATCTCAGCTAGAAAGTGCAATCAAAGAAGCAGCCATCGAGGATCTTAAATGTACCTGAATATCCTACCCCTCCATTCTTCATTTCATCCTGCGCATCTGTCAATACGTCTATCTAATACACCCATACACTTACCTATCTCACTGCCAACGCACGTTCTGTTCCTTGTAGAGAATAATGGAATCCATTTAGTTTTGGTCCCTTCCTCAGTTCTGCAGTCAAATGTAAAGAAAGACCCATCAAACAGGAAGATTTCTTCCGTGGTATGGCTTCAGAGAAACCCCCAAAACTCACTTTCCAAGTTGATTCTTGGAGAGATCCAAAGATTTCAACAACCGGCAAGACCATTTCTCAGGAGAAGGTAACACGACTATCTGATTCCCAGAAAGTTTCAGGGAAACCAGAGCCTGAAAGGGAAAATTGATAATGATGTTTTTTGTGTACACATCCCAGGAAAGGGGGACTGTTAAAAGTCTGCAAGATGGCTGATGTGGCATCACGATCTGGCAGAATTTGACATACAGACCACTACAATCCAATAAGTCATGCAAAGAGGAGATGTAAAACTCAAAGGGAAAAAAAGAGGTGGAATAATTGGGGGGAACACTGAAATAAATATAATTTTAGGGCTTCCCCCCTCCTGTATTTATTATTTTTAAATTATTAGCACAGGATAAATGTATATTCCAATGAAACAATGTTGACTTCATAGATGAGAACAGTGATCATTATAACAATAATGATTTTAAATGAATGTTCTTATTCATGTACTATTCATCTCGGGTAGCAAACCACTTGTTGTTGTTGTTATTGTTGTTGTTATCAAGGGGTGTTTTGATCTTTTTTTAAAAAGCAAAACATAAACAACTTTCAAGGTTCCAAATAGCATCCAAAAGTAAATCAGAGTCCAAGGCAAAGTATTGCTCAAAGTTCCGATTTATTAAGAAAGCCACGTTGGCGCATCTGGGAAAAACCAAATCTGAAAGCTTCCNCACACACACACACACACACACACACACACACACACACACACACACACACACACACACACAGCTGGATAAAACTATACAAGCCCAGCTTCACTGATTACAAGTTTGAAAAGGCAACGTGGGTCAAAGGCTCGGATCGGCTCCAATCCAACTTCTGTATTTGTGTTTGTTTGAGAGAGAGTGAGTGAGTGAGTGAGGGAAGGAGATAGTCCAATCCAACTTCTCTGTGTGCGTGTGACTGTTTGAGAGTGGGGGGAGAGAGGGAGAGAGGGAAGAAGGAGGGGGAGGGAAAAGAAAAAGAATGAAGGAAACCTTTTTTCAAAGGAGAAAAACAAATGCTGTTGCTTTAAATTGGAACTGAGCATGCCTGGCTATGGAATTCTGGGAGTTGAAGTCCACAAGTCTAAAACAAATTGAAATCTACCCTCGCCAGCCATAAACATCACCACATGTCACTGTGTTCATGCATGTGGGAGCACACAGAGGGGGCACATGCAGCAGGTTGTGCGTGCATGTGCAGGGGGCGTGCTTGGGGGCATGATGACAGAAGGTTAGCCATCACTCCCCTGCATCACTCCCCTGACAGATGCCGGTTCAGTCTCTTTTTGAAAATCTCCAGTGATGAAGCTCCCACACCTTCTGAAGGCAAGCTGTTCCATTGGTTGATTGTTCTCACTGTCAGAAAGTTTCTCCTTATATCTAGGTTGAATCTCTCCTTGATACTAGTAGCATACAATAAGCTGCTGTTTTTCCAATTCACATGAAAAAAAAACACCTCTCCTCTTTTTCTCAGGTGGTGGGGAAATGCAATGGAAAAATACAACTTAAAATAAAATCCCTGTAGAAGTGAAAGGGATATTCAAGCACAACATCCTCAGTCAGAGAGGAGAATTTCATAAGTTATTGAAGTCTGAATAAATCTGTGTTTTGCTGGAATCTAATCATTTCTAATGGAACATAGCAGGAAACAATTCAGCTCTTAGTGGTTGTACAAACACTACAAAATTGAAATGTTTATTTCTTAAATTGTTACAACCAGGGTTCTGTAAGTACTTGGTGATCTCCATGCAGAAGCACTATGTGTCCACAGAAAGAAAAATCAAAACGAAGAAATCAGTTTTAATGGGTTCTATACTGTAGATTACTGTAATCTATACAGTAAATTACAATAAATGGTGGCTTGTGGTTCAGTTCCAAGCCAGGAGAAAGACATGGAAACATGGAGGCTGATTGGAAAGATGGTTTATTGATGAAGCAGAACCACATGTGATCCTGGGCAGCTAACAAAATGGAGTTGAGAGTGAGGGGGTTTTATACCTTCTTTAAGCTGTGTACTTGAGCTTCCTGTTCCTGTGCAAGAACATGTATTCTGTTGGCTATTGTCAATCTCCCATGGGGCCATGTAGGGGTTATGTAGGGGTCATAGCTGGCTCTATAGACAAAGTACAAAACCTAGGTGTTTGTCTCAGCTAAGTTTGGTTGAAGTTTCTGAGGGTGATGCAATCATTCATATTGTAGCTTAATGGCTTTTTCCTGTGTTGGAACTTGGATGATGGTTATTTGCTTATGAATAAAGCTATTTAGATACTTAGCTCCTTTCAATAAGCTCTTTATTTCTTAAGTTCTGACATCTGCTGAGGGCTATTAAGAAAGCTGCTTTCTGTCTCCAAGAGCAAGTTTTTTTTTCATTCCTCCTTTATGGAAATCTCATTTTCTGCCTTTTTAATATTTCCTAAAATATTCCATTCTTCTAGGAGAAGGGTGGGTGCTCACTTGCTACAGGCTCAATGGGAGAACCTTGAATTCCCCATTGCCCAATGGCAAATGGATTTGAAAATCAGTGAGCAGAAACCAGGAAGTTTATCTACAACAGTCTCAAGTAATCAATAGGAGCAAAACTGGCCCAAATCCCAAACTTGCCTCAGTTTAATGTGCTTCAGTAGTAGAATATAGCAATAGCAATAGCAGTAGACTTATATACCGCTTCATAGGGCTTTCAGCCCTCTCTAAGC